TCTTTGTGATAGAACTGTTCTATATCTTGACTGTGATGGTAGGCTCACATGATAAAACTGCATAGACTAAATATACATTCAACAAAAAGAAAAAGAATATATGTAAAACTGATGAAACCTGAATAAAAACTGTGGGTTGTATCTATGTCAACCCCCTGGTTGTGACTGTGTACTATAGTTATGCAAGATGTTACCACCAGGGAAAATGGATAAAGGATATGAGGGATTTCTATATTATTACTTACAGTTGCAGGGGAATGTACAATTATCTCAAAATTCAACGTGTTTTTTAAAAAATGGGTTTGCAAAGCCAGATAAAGACACTACAAGAAAAGAAAAGTATAGGCCAATTTCCCTGATGAACACAGATGCAAATATCCACAACAAAATACTAGCAAACCAAATTCAACGACACATTAAAAAAATCATACACCATGATCAAGTGGCTTTTATCACTGGGGTGCCAAGATGGCTCAACACACGCAAGTCAGTTAATATGATACACTACATTAACAAAGTAAACAATAAAGATCACATGATCATAGTAAATAGATGCAGAAAAAAACATCTGATGAAATTCAACACAATTTAATGGTAAAAAACTCTCAACAAACTAGGTTTATAGGGAATTTACCTCAACATAAAAAAGAACATTTATGAATAGGCCACAGCTAACATCATACTCAACAGTGAAAAACTGAAAACTTTCCTCCTAAGATCAGGAACAAGGCATGAATGCCCACGCTTGTCATTTCTATTCAGCATAGAACTGGAAGTCCTAGGTAGAGCAATTAGGCAAGGAAAATAAATAAAAGATATCTAAATCTGAAAGGAAGAAGTAGAATTATCACTGTTTACAGATGACATGATCTTATATGTAGAAACCCTAAAGATGCCACCAAAAATCTATCAGAACTAATACACAAATTCAGTAAAGTTGCAGAATACAAAAATCAGCATACAAACATCAGCTGTATTTCTATACACTAAGAATGAACTATCCAAAATTAAGAAAACAATCTCATTTACTACAGCATCAAAAAGAATCAAATACTTAGGAATAAACGTAACCAAAGAGATGAAAAACGTATACACTTACAACTACAAATCACTGATGAGAGAAATTAAAGACACAAATAAATGGAAAGACATCCGATGTTCACGAATGGGAAGACTTAATATTGTTAAAATGTCCATATCACCCAAAGCCATCTACAGATTCAATGTAACCCCTATCAAAATCCCAAGGCATTTTTTACAAAAAAAGAAAAAAATCATAAATTTCATACTGACCACAAAAGAACCTGAATAGATCAAGAAGAACAAAGCTAAAGGTACCACACTTCCTGACTACAAAATATATTCCAATGTTACAGTAATTAGTACAGTACTGGCATAAAAACAGACATACAGACCAATGGAAAAGAATAGAGAAATTAACCCACATATATGTGGTCAAATGATCTTTAACAAGGGTTCCAAGAATACACAATGGGGAAAGTACAGTCTCTTCAATAAATGGTATTGGGAAAACTGGTTATCCACATGCAAAAGAATGAAACTAGACCCTTATCTTACAACGTACACAAAAATCAACCCAAAAATGTATCAAAAATTTATATGTAAGACCTGAAACTGTAAAACTCCTCGAAGAAAAACACAGGGGAAAAACTTCATGATGTTACGTTTGGCAGTGGTTTCTTAGATGTGATAACAAAAGTACAAACAATAAAAGCAAAATGAGACAAGTGGGACTACATCAAACCATAAAGCCTTTGCACAGCAAAGGAAACAAATCAACAGAGTGAAAAGGCAACCTACAGAAGAGGAGAAAATATGTGCAAACCAAATATCTGATATGTTGTTAATATCTAAAATACATAAGGAATTCCTACAACTTAAAGCAGAAGAAATTAAATAACCTGATTTTAAAATGGGCAAAGAACTTGAATAGACATTTTTCCAAAGAAGACATACAAATGGCCAATAGGTACTTGGAAAGACGCTTACATCACTAATCATCAAAATCTAATCATGCAAATCAAAACCACAATGAGTTATCACCTCACTCCTGTTAGGCTGGCTTTTATGAAAAAAAAAAAGGTAAGCATTGGCAAGGATGTGAAGAATTTGGAACCCTTGTACACTATTGGCTAGAAAGTAAAATGGTGCAGCCACCATGGAAAACAGGAGTTTTCTCAAAAAATTAAAAATACAATTACCATATGATTCAGCAATCCTACTTCTGGGTATATATCCAAAAGAATTGAAATCGGGATCTTGAAGAGATATATGCACTCCCGTGTTCACTGCATTATTCACAATAACCAAGATATAAAAACCTAAGTGTCTATCGTTAGATGAATGGATAAAGAAAAGTGATATATATACACGATGTAATATTATTCAGCCTTAAAAAGGAGGAAATCCTGCAATGTGCAACAACATGGAAGAACTTGGAGAGCATTATGCTACGTGAAATAAGCCAGTCACAGAAGTCCACTTATGTGAGGTACCTAAAGTAGTCAAACTCATAGAAATAGATAGTAAAATGGTGGTTGCCAAGGGCAGGATGAGAGGAGAGGGGCACCAAGAGTTACTGTTCAACAGGTACATAGTTTCAATTATACTAGAGGAATAAGTGCTACAGAGCGGCTGTACAACATTATAGCTGACAATACTGTATTGTGCACTTAAAAATTTAAGATGGTAGATCTCGTTAGGTGTTCTTACAACAAAATTAATCATTAATTAATTGAATGGTTTTCAATTCTCAAAATTTCTGCTCAAACAAGCTTAAGATACAGTTAAGATAGTTTGAATATATTTCAAAGGCCACTTTGTGTTTTCACCGATTACCTAAAATAAAAATCATTAAAGTCATGATCTATGTAAAGTTCCTAGGCCAATGCTTGGTTCACACTGAATAGTTAATAAATGTGATTTTCTGTCCTTCCTTACAACAATCTTCAGAGTTGTGTGGGCCTAACATCGTTAACGTCGTCCCTTATACATGCCCAGCCTCAGGCTATTGCGCTGGAAGATGCAGTTTCACCTCAGGTGACTGTGATGAGAAAGCCTCCACATCTTATTCAAATCAATGCCTGTGAGTACAGAAAGGTTAGTTAAATTTCTCTTTCTGAAGAGGCACTATTACTTTCCAGTTAGTGCACCCTAGACTTGTAACTCAATCTTCTCAAAAAAAAAGGTATATCTTACACAGCCACTAAGACACACTCTACAAAGAGCAATGCATCTTAGCAACCAGGCTGCTTTTTATAACCAGTGAGCATCATAAATGAAGAGGTGCCCCCTGCCCCCTCAATTCTCCTTCTCCTTTGCCCCTGTTCTGTACAACGCCTGCTTTCCTCTTCATCAACGGCCTTGCCTCACTGTCTACTCTTTTCCTCCCCTTCTCTCTCTTCTGTCCCTGCCACCTCCTGCACGAATTAAAAAAAAATTTCTTTTTTAGAAAGTCAAGAAGTGAAGACACTCTTCCCCACCCTCCACAAGTGGGCACAGGCATTTGACCCTGATCTTTGTACATGGAAAAAGCTCAGAGGAGGGACCGAGATGGTCTCCGTGGCTGTTATAAGCCCAGCACACCTCATGCTGTGAGCTACCACACCTTAAACTAATCAACAAACCTCTCTGTAATAAATGAAAAAGCAGGTCAATTTAGAAGTTACACACATATCGTGCCATCTAAGAATGTGCCATTTTAAGAAACATTTAGGGAAAAAAAGGACTGAGCAACTTAGTAGCTGAGATTATCTTTCAGCTGAAAAACAAAACCACTTTCCAAAAGGATAAATGTTTATAAAATACTCTCTTCAGAGTCAAATGTGCTATTTCCTCACCCGCCTTAAAACATTCAACTTTCAGTTGAAGAATTAAGTACAATCGCTCTGGTTTCCTTTTCTAAGTCATCAGCCACCTGTCAAGAGACCTCGGCCTCCCGGCCTGGGCAGGCTTTTCAAGCTGTTTACCCTGTCTCGAATGACCAGTACCACAAAGACGGGTTCATATTACACCCGTTGGAAAATGCTTAAAACGCTGATGTTACTGAACCAATATTATTTCAACAGTTCTGTCCGGCACATTATAAGCTTAAATGCTGAGCCAAACTATAAGGAGCTGAGTCAAGCTCATGACGCGCGAGCCAGCACTCCCCTGGCATCAGCCTTTCTCCCCTTCCACCTGAAGCTAGCCGTCTTTTAAATTCAAGAAAATACTCCACCCCGCAAAACCCTGGCGTTCTCCCGATTCCCTTTGCACCTTATTCACACTTGAAATGCTGAATCATGACTCCAAGATTGTAAAAGAAACACTACTTCAACTGGGACGCCAGGACCCCCGGAGGATCCCACGCTTTCCTGCCTTCCTTTGCTTTGCACCTTTTAAAGTCTAAATCTGGAGCCCTTCCCGAAGATCGGCGAGGCTCCAGGAGCAGCCAAGTCTGCAGGTCGGGAGGGCGCCTCTGCCCGCTGTGCTGCTCCTCCCCAAACCCACGCAAGCCCTGGCAGCTCACGACTCCCAAGGAGCTGACACACTCCCCGTCTGCACAGCTCACCAGCAGCCGCCGAGAAACCCCCAACTTCGAAGCTTCACCACCACAGCCACCCGCCCGGAGCTCGTCGGGCCCGCGCTGGTCTCATTTGGCCACCGTACCACGGGGGTGAGCTGTGCGGAGGCGGGTGGGCTCCACCAGACCCCTCCCAGCCCTGGCCCCAGAGACCTGCCCGCCCAGAGCGCAGACTCACAAGAAACTCAATTCCAAGTCCCGGCCCGCGCCTCCTGAACCGCCCCGGGAGCCCCAAGCAGCCGGGCGGAGGACCACTGAGCAGAGGGGCGTGGGCAGCCTGGAGAGGAGGGAGGCGTGGAGGGGAAAGGGCGGCGAGAAAAGAAACGGCCCCCAAGCCAGTCCCGCAACTTCTCCCAGCCCGGGTTGGGGCTGAGGAGAAACGGCGGCGGCCGCGAGCAAGGGGTGAGGGACTCACTTGAAGGTGAGGACGCAGAGCGGCCGGTAGGACTTGTGGCTGGTGTTCTCGGCCATGCCCTTGCCCCAGAAGTCGTTGGAGAAGATGCCCCAGCGCAGCGGGGCGCCGGGCCGCACGTCGGGGTTGTTGACGATCGCCCACACGTCGTCGTGCACGAACTCGCCCTGCAGGGAGCGGCCGTAGCACAGGCAGCTCGCCCCGACCAGCAGCGCCGCGGCCCCAGGCGCCGAAAGTCCGCAGCCCCGCCGCCTGGAGGGCGCGCGGTCCCCGCCGCCGCCTCGGGCAGAGCTTGTCACTACCATCGCGCCGCCGCCGCTGCCCTGGCCTCTCCCGGGCGTCTGGCATCGTCCCCAGCCGGGGACCGGGCGGCGCGCGGCGGCTGCCCGAAGGTGGGCTCGGGCATAGTCGGCGGCAGCTGGACCTGCCGGTAGCGCCCCGCGCTCCGCCGCCGCCTGCGCCGCCGAGTTGGCCCAGCTGCAAATAAACAGCAGTCCCCCCGCCTCCCCTGGCCATCGCCACCTCCTCCGCCCCACTGCGCATGCCCCGCTCTCAATCGCCTCCACCCCCCAATCCCGGGACCGGCGCCGCTTTCGCCCCCATGTCCCGCACCCTCCCCCCGCGCCCCGGCCGGTCGCGCGCTCAGCCCGCGGGCGCAGCGGCGCCGGGCGGCGAGAGTCAGCGCTCAGGTGGAGCGGGGTCGCCGCGCGGGGCTACCCGGAGCGGCGGGGAAGGGGCATCCGAGATGCTCTCCGCCTCCCAACATGTACCCCAGCAGGGTCCGGGGAGGGCCTCCTGGTGGGCACGTCCAGGCCCCGGGCCAGGACGGGTTTAGCAGGTGCTCAGCCTGAACCCCCCGCCCGCCCTCAGGGAGAGAGCAGTGGCTGCCGCCGCCCGGGACGTCCCCGGCTTTTCAGCACCCCGGACAACAGCAGGGGCGGCCCGCGGGCCACGCTCTCCCGCCCCGCTTCGCGCTCGCGTCCCGTCGTCCCCTCCGCGGTCTCCTTCCCGGGCTTTCGGTCCCCGCCGCCCCGCGACCAGAGGTTGCAGCCTCCGGGGGTGGAAACCGCAGGGAAATGGAGCTTCTGAAGCATCTTTCTGAAAACCGAGCGAGGGTCTCCCTGGCGGGGGCGTCTCCTGCCCGCCCTGCCCCGGTTTGTTCCGAGGAGCCATCGGCTGTTTTCCTTTACCGCCCATTGCTCTGCTCACCCTTATAAAGTCTCAGGTTCGATTTTTGGTTTGGGTTTGGGCTCCGAATTGGCTTCTGAAACATTCCTCCTCGTTTTGTTTTTTACTACGGTTCTTAAAACAATCTGGGAGATGCCAAGCAAATTACTTTTTCTTCCCATCTAAATGGGTCACTTGGGTCTGATTATTAACTACGCTGTGAGCGTGTTTGAACTCTTCCTGCTCAGTCAATACGATTTAAAACAAAAACAAAAAACCAAACTGCTTTAAGGCCTCTGGCTTTGGCTTCCCATCTTCCAGTTTTTCTGAACGGTTGTTTTCTTTTTTAAAAAATACTAATTATAATATAAGCTAAGTATACCGTTGAGATGAGGATCAGTAGAATTTGTCCAGGTTTGAAAACTCTGTTAACTCTTTGAGGCCCTTGTAAATTTCTATTGCTGTGTGTCATTGAAGTTACCTGGAATCTGATGCATCCAGATAGAGAAACTTAAAATATATACAAAATTCGCCATATTATTATCATCCTTCCAAAATCCTTAAGAGTTTTGATGATCTAAAAAAAAAAGAAAAAGAGTAGAAAAAAAGGCAGAAATCACTCTTATACTGACTGAATGTTTTTGTGACTCTTTAGGGCACCAATTTATTTCTTAAAAAATTTAAGATATATCTGAGCAGTTGAAAACTCAATGAAATAAGACGAATATATTCCAAGTCAGGATGTTTTTATCCATTTCACTTTGTTTTTTAGTGACTTAGAAATTAGTGACTGAGAAATGTATTCATCCTTGCATCAAAAGTTTTTAACCCTGGGTAGCTTTCATATCCAGACCCTACACACACCTGTGTCAACCATCTCCTCAGAGAACACACTACAGCCTTTCTTCTTCAGCTGCCCATTAACTTAATAAAAATATACGAAAGTATATGTTGTGCTACAATATGCTAGGTACTGGGCTGGATGACCAAAGCTGCTCAAATTGTGTATGTGTGTAAGTGTGTGTGTGTAAGATTAATACCATAAAAGTCTAACAACCTTCTGAGTTAACAGCTGACTAAGACAGTGAATTTGTCCTTGCTGAAATGATAGTAGGTGTAATAAGCCAATGTATCAGTCCTTACCTACAATTAATAGAGGCTTTCTTGAGACAATATCTTACTCCCAAAGAGTGCCTCTAATTGTAGATTTTTAAAGAGAGCAGGCCTTTTCTCCCTTAAATCACCCTTGTAGGAGGCACAGCTTGCCCACCCTGTTCTGTTCTGAGTTGTTATCTTTTTTAGAAGAAAACAGTTATCAGAATTCTCCATGACAATAGAGAGAAATGAAGAAGGACAAAGCTGGACTCCAAAAAGACAATAAAAGGGAGCAAAGAGGAAGGAAACCTCTAAGTAGGATTCCAGGTTTCTGAGCACAGAGAGTTTCATCAAGATTGGCTGTAGACTGACTGGCATCTCCATTCTATTTAGTTTGGATGATGAATTTGGGATGAATGTACTTTAAAATAATGAGATACCTCAAGTCCTCTCAAGGACAAAGTAATAAGTAACTAATTTTTAAAAGTAAACAGTTCCTACCATATGACCCAGCAATCCCACTACTGGGCATATACCCTGAGAAAAACATCACTCAAAAAGAGTCATGTACCACAATGTTCATTGCAGCTCTATTTACAATAGCCAGGACATGGAAACAACCTAAGTGTCCATCGACAGATGAATGGATAAAGAAGCTGTGGCACATATATACAATGGAATATTACTTAGCCATAAAAACAAACGAAATTGAGGTATTTGTAGTGAGGTGGATGGACCTAGAGTCTGTCATACAGAGTGAAGTAAGTCAGAACGAGAAAAACAAATACTAACAAATACTATATATGTATGCTAACACATATATATGGAATCTAAAAAAAAAATGGTTCTGATGAACCTAGGGGCAGGACAGGAATAAAGACACAGACATAGAGAATGGACTTGAGGACACGGGGTGGGGGAAGGGTAAGCTGGGACAAAGTGAGAGAGTAGCATTGACATATATACACTACCAAATGTAAAATAGATAGCTAGTGGGAAGCAGCTGCATAGCACAGGGAGATCAACTTGGTGCTTTGTGACCAGCTAGAGGTGTGGGATAGGGAGGGTGGGAGGGAGATGCAAGGGGGAGGGGATATGGGGATATATGTATACATATAGCTAATTCACTTTACAAAGCAGAAACTAACAGCATTGTAAAACAATTATACTCCAGTAAAGATGTTAAAAAAAAAAAAAAAAAAAGTAAACCATTCCTTTGCAGCCCCACCATTTCCTGATCCAATACTGTTCTGTGTTACAGAAAAATAGTGTAAAAGTATTGATGTCAGAGAGAGAAGGTCTACACTGATATGCCACCTCATTATCCCTCTGCTTAAGGTGTAAAGCACTCACCTTGCCTAACAAAGAGGCCCCAAAGCAAATTAAGTTAATTCTTGTTACTTTGTCTCTGATTATTTTTAAAGTATTTCTAATTAGAACAATACTACCTTCTAAGACACCTTTTGTCCCCTCAGAGCAATTTAAAACATAAATTATTATGAAGGGCTTCTCTGAGGCTCATACAAATTAATGTGGACCATAGCTCTGAAAGAAATTGGGACACAACTAAAAATAAATCAAGGGCAAGTAGATAATTTAATAAAACAAATTTCAAATTACTGCCCACTGCAATTTCAGCCCAATATACCCTGTTCAGGTACCGGGATATAAAGAAAGTGTTGACTGAAGTAAAAACTCACAATGTGAGAGCTGTGGGTTTTGTTTTGTTTTGTTTGCGGTATGCGGGCCTCTCACTGTTGTGGCCTCTCCTGTTGTGGAGCACAGGCTCCGGATGCGCAGGCTCAGCGGCCATGGCTCACGGGCCCAGCTGCTCCGCGGCATGTGGGATCTTCCCGGACCGGGACACGAACCCGCGTCCCCTGCATCGGCAGGCGGACTCTTAACCACTGCACCACCAGGGAAGCCCTAGGTTTTAGTTTTATTTGGGGACTTGCTGAGGACTATAGCCTCTCAGATAGTTCTGAGTCATTGCTCGGGAAAGCTGGTGGGGAGGTCTGCATACATGTGATTTTGGCAAAGAAGTATGTGCTGAAGTAAGTCAGACAGAGAAAGACAAATATCATATCATATTGCTTATATGTGGAATCTAAAGAAATGGTACAAATGAACCTATTTACAAAACAGAGGTTGAGATGTAGGAAACAAACTTGTGGTTACCAGGGAAGAAAGGGGGCCGTGGAGGGATAAACTGGGATATTGGGATTGACATATACACACTACTATATGTAGAATATTTAACTAATAAGAACCTACTGAACAGCACAGGGAACTCTATTCAATACTCTGTAATGACCTATATGGGAATTGAATCTAAAAAAGAGCGGATATATGTGTATGTTTAACTGACTCACTTTTCTGTACAGCAGAAGCTAACAAAGCATTGTAAATCAATACTATGCTTCAATAACATTAGAAAAAAATAAAAATTAAAAGGCATAAATTAAAAAAAAAAAAGGAGTGCGTGCAATCAAGCACAGATCTTTGTAGAAGGTTACTGCTAGTCACAAGAAACAGGTATCTCAGTTAATGTTTTTAGTGCTTTTCTAAGTATGGGGAGGTGCAAGAATCTTGGTTCACTGAATGTTCTCCTGAAAATATCTAACTTTCTGAGGGCTGGTTCTGCCAGTTTTCCCAGAACACAGAGTGCCTCATCCTGAACTTCACCCTGAATTCCTCTCAAGGTGAATTGTAGGTCAGAGACTATAGTGGCTAACGACTTGATTTTTTTGTAGAACTGGATGGTTGGCAACATTCTTTAGTTGGCAGGACAAATGCAATGTTACAAGACAGAAATTCAGGAAAAGTGCTAATAACATAATTTACATCAAAAAATAAATTCTTGTTTAATTATTTAACTATTACCTGTTCTTGAAGAAAATACAGAAAAACGGGGGGAAAAAAGGAAATTGAAATATACCTACCACTCCACCCCTTGGGCCATGGCAAGACAGGCAACATGCACTCGAAGAAGCTGACCCAGCACCTGGCAGGGCAAATATTGGAGCCTGGGATGCCACGTGAGCTGAGCAATGGCTGCGCCCAGACCTGGGTCCTGACTGGTGGCAGCAGTGGTGGCAGCAGCCTCAGGAGAGAGGAGGGGCTGGCTCCTAGTGAGGGCAAACTGGCCTTCCCTTTCATCCCCAGAACTTGTCTCTGTGGCATCTGCACAGAATTAAAACGAAAGAATATAAAACATTACCTGTGATCTTGCAATT